TCAAATCTCAGTTGGTATTTATACGACAGGTAACAGGCTATTTAGTTTTGCTCTGTTTAGTCAACAGAAACAGTAGGCGAGCTGGAATATAAAATGCAGCATTGTGATGAAATACACTTCATATGATGTTGTTTAAACCTGGACTGGGCTTTTCTTTTTGACGGCATCAATCATATGTTCAAATGGAGGCACATCTACACAGATTTTCACACATCCATCGATGTTTTCACCCTTGTGGATGTACAATAAATACAAATACGTGAAGACGTCAGCGTACTGTACATGATGTCTTCATGTATTCATTGCCATCTTTCAGCCCTGAAAGCCGTGACAGCTCAATGTCAAGTGAGATATCCAACATGGTAGAGCGGCACAGTAGAGAAATGGTAGTGAACTCGGTTTGACAGTCCCCTGCTGAGCAACTGAAGGAACCTGAAGCAAGGAGGCAAAGTCTGTGTGTGAGTGTGCGTGTCAGTGAACACGTTGGCAGGTAGCACAGGAAAAGGCACGGTAGCAAACAAATCCAACATGACACAAGTTAGAATACCAAAGTACCGGTAATTTGAGACCCACCATTCCTCTGTTTCTTCCTCTGCATAAAATAGACTTATTTGCTTAACCTCACTGGGTTATACTGATGAGGAGCTCTGCTTTAAAGATATAGATGAAGAGGGGAAACCTTTGTCAGTTGTTTATGTTGTTGAAATCAGGGCAGGGAGAGAAGCAGGCATACTCGCTTAATGTCGCAAAATAAGATGACCTATTTTGAACAGTCGCTGTGAGGCAAGGCGCTCTAAACCTTATCTGAGCACCACAGAGGCTCCAAACTCTATAAATATGTGTGTGCATGCATGTGTGTTTGTGTGTGTGTGCATATTTTCTTCGCAGCCCTTTCTAACTTTTGTGAACTTTCACTTCGATTAATTATCTGAGTTTGTGGTAGATGTACTGTAGCTGGACTCAGCGACCTCTCAGTTTCAACAACTGTACCTGGAACCTTTGAGTCAAACAGACAGCAGACTTAACATAAATCAATACACAAATCAATAACAAACATTCTCCTGTAAGTGCAGAGTTTGCCCCATGGCCCTCTTCATTACAGTCTGACGGTAACATCATCATAGTCCAGACCACAGTCATGTTTACTGAACTTTTGTAAAGAGTGTGAGGCTAACGGAAAATGATTGAACCATGCTGAGACCAAGTGATGATGGATGACACCAGGTGAGAGGCGGGGTACACCCAGGACAGGTCGCCAGTCTATCACAGGGCTGACTTCTTTTAGTTGCCTAATCCTAACATACCTTAAGATTAGTTTACATGTACCATAACAACAGTCTTTATCTAACCTTCATTATGCCATAGTTTCCTAGTGCAGACACTGTAGAAACATACCAGCATTCTTACATTATGTGTCCATGTATTAAAAAAAGTGACTAAGTGTCTATATATTTGTCTTGACTATTTTCAGCAGTGGATTAATACATATCGGTGCACAAGTATGTGTTTTGGCAGTGAAACAGTATATATGGGATCAACTTAAAATAGCCTGTAGTGCCCACGTTTATTGCATAGAAGGAAAATGACACACAGTGCAGTGGTGTGGCTCAAATATGTTTTTTAAAATCTTTTTGTTTGTTGTTTTTCTGCCAAAAGTGTGATCAGTGAACCAGAGGAATAAGCCATACAGACAGTTCTTGAGAGCAGCACATTGGTTTTCTCATGGAATTTGTTGGCAGTAAGAAAAATACACCATCACCAATCGTTTCCTTTAAAAATGCATCAAAGGTTTCTCAGCAACAGGGAAACACAGCCAGGTAAAACCTGGATCCAGCTTTCAGAGCACACACTTCATGGCTAGATGGACAGAATCGGCACGAATCCCCCCACGGTTATGTTTTCACCACTAGATGTGACGCACAGCAGGGAGACGGCGCATGTGGCTGCATGCTGAAGAAGTGATCAGATTAAACAAGCAAGACAGGTGTGATTATGAATGTGTGAGTGAGGACCATAGAGAAATGAAAGGAGAAATGAGAGGTGAAGCCAGGAGTGAAGCATGGCACGAAGAAAGAGAGAGAAGAGGGATTTTGATAATCCTGACATTTGACCACCTGTCTCTAAAAAGCTGCTCATGTGTTAATACTGGAAAATCACAATCATCATTGATACCAGCGGCAGATACCAGTTTAATAACTGGAGACAAACCAAGTGTTCCCTGCCTTTCATTCACACACACACAGATACCACAGAAACATGCTGAAACTGTAATTTTCTCTCAGATGCACACACACACACACACACACACACACACTCATGTCAGGGAGGCATTCACTTGCTGGTCTGTTTAATTTCGGTTTGGCAGATTATAGTCATTATGTGAAAGAAAAGATTTTGCTGGGTAATTTGCCCTTTTCTGTCCTTGAAAAGTGAAACAGTGCTCAGTGAAGGACGTTCTCTGTTTCTACACCGCTGTTCATCCAAATTGGAAAACATGTTCACATACAAGTTGTGAAAGCATCCCGAGTTGTATTACTTTGCATTGTTTTATGGCAACAACAATCTCTTTAATTATCTGAAAATGTTTTTCTATCAATGTAACACAAGCAATAACAGTAAACTATCCTTTATATTAAGATGCAGAGCCTGCGTATTGGGTGTTTGTGTGTGTGTGTGAGAGAGAAAAGATTTGTCTGTGTGTGTAAACTGGCAGCCAAGAGAAGCAAATTGATGCCGACATAAATTGGAATTACAGAGTATGTCATTGAACTGCACCTCTGGGCCTGCTCTCCACTCACCACTACCTCAGAACAATGTGTGTAAATATTTGTGTGCTCCTGTGTGCACGTGTGTGTGATGACGAGAGTCGGTGTAAACTACCCATGAAATTAAGATTCAAGAACTCGCTGTGTTTGTATGACGGGGTAAATGTAGCCGTTTGCATCTGCTTGCTACAATGCAAACAGTCCTTGAAATTAAGATGTAGAGCAGGAGACAGTCAGCCGAGCTCTGAGTACTCTCACTGGAAACAGAGGACGGGGGGAGTTTGAAGAATCCCTCGAACATGCTGACAGCTCGTGATGGCCCTCCTGCAACTGAAATGAATTTCAGCCTTTTGTGGTGTGTGTTAATGCTTCGCCGATAAGCCCTGACACTAATACTGTTAACAAGGAGTGAGCATGTGTGTGTGAGCATGTGTGTGTGTGTGCATGCACGCGCTGACATGGTGTTCGCATGCTTTTGAGCAAAAATAGGTTGATGCATCGAGGTGTTTGTCAGAAATGAGGATGGATATTACATGGCTGAATTTGCATGTGTGTTCATGTGTGTGTATGTACTACAGTGCAAACACACATTGTGGGACAGTTGCCAAGGGAATATAATTAAGTACTTTACTTGAGGATTCCTGTTTTTGTATGCTACTTTATTTGATTTTACAGAAGAACTTGAGACAGTCCTCCCAGTAAAGCCTCAGAATCTGACCGGGACATCTGCTGTTCATTTCCTATTTCCAACAAACAGTTTAAGTTTTTTAACTGATGTTTATTATTGTAGCCGTGACAACAAAGCTCCCATAACCTTAGGCCATATTCACAAAGACATTTTAAAAAACACAGGGGGCTGCGTTGGTCGGGGTGGTGTTGTTTCATGAACCACTGAGACTATAAAATCCAGGAATTCCAGTCGGAGGAATGGATTTACATGTTTAAAACAGCATTGTGGTTTATCTGTTTTATCTTTGGTCATGATGAACTTGAGCTAAACAGCCGGATTATGCACTTGCCATGTGGGTGATTGGCCAGAGGTCATGTTGCACTGCAGAAAAGGTTGCATCCAATCCGACTTTTTTTCAGTACCGAGATGCTTTGTTACTTTATTAAAAGGAATTTCTTTTCTAACAGCAATTTGGCTTTGGAAGGGAAAGACAGATATCTTTTTTTCTTGTACTGGAGTACTTTTACAATATTGTATTGATCCATTAACTTATATAAAAGATCTGAACACTGGAAAAGTGCATCAGCCAGCTCCGTCTCGCTACATTAGCTTAATACGGCCTCAAGTCTCAAAAAGGTTAACATTGAATTCTCAGCCCTGTGTTGGCTGAGATGCAGCTCACATGGTTTAAAAGAATCATGTATAAAATCACCAATCTGTTTCCTTGCAACAGGCTCTGTATCCACACACACACACACACACACACACACACAAGCTGCTGTCAGAGTCGGGGTTGGCATGTATCTTTGTGCCTTGTCATCACATGCTCCGACTGAGCTCTAAATGTCACTTGTCTCTCTCCGCTTCATCTGCCTGACTCATCCTCCTTGTCTTCACTCTGCATTTGAAATGCTTGTGTGTGTGTGTGTGTGTGTGTGTGTGTGTGTGTGTGTGTGTGTGTGTGTGTGTGTGTGTGTGTGTGTGACGCGGACATGTGCTGGTGTGTATGGATTTGATGGACACACTGCTGCTCTCCACCTCCCTTTGTACAGCGCCTGCAAACATAATGATGCCCACTGCATTGATTTTCTTGTGCCATTTTATAATTATGTCTCCACTCTTTTTATTCGCCCTCCCCCTCTCACTCCCTCTTTCTTTTATCCTGTCTCTCTTATCTCCCCCCTCTCTTGTTTTTCTAATTCTATCCCCCGATCCATTTTTATACCTCACTGTGCCTATGCCTGTTATCTCGACCCTTTTTCTTTTTTTTCATGTTTGATCTCTACTTCTTAATTTCCTCTCTCATCTACGTCACTCGGCTCGGTTTTGCTTTGCACCCCCTTCTCGCTCTCTCTGCGATGGTCGTCACTTTCTCATTTTGCTCTGTTGTTTTCATCTTATTTTCTGTTTCTTGCCATTTCTGATTTTTCTCAACCTCTTTCTCTTTCCAATGAGAGTGTTTTTCTCTCTATTTCACACCCCGACTTTCTATTCAGCTATTTTCTGTTGTGAACTTTTTCCAATCTTTTCTCTCTTCTGTTTTTTCTCTCTCTCTCTCTCTGCAGCCTCTCTGGAGTGCGCTCCGTCTTCACCATAGCCTGATGGAGCAGGACTACCCAGTCACAAAAGGACAGAAATGCCCACCATCTCACCAACATCCACCCACTATGTGATCCCCCAGACTTCTTCCTGGACCAATTTCAGCTCCATCTAACTTCTTTGGTCTCCGTGTTCGACTCCTCCAAAGGCTGATCTGTAAAAAACAAACCCGTGCCTCCTTCGCAGCCACTCCTGAGAAGCTCCCACAAGTTCTGACTCGCCGTGTCTTCACAGTCCAAACAATTTCTCACAGCATCCTGGAGTCTGACCGATAGTTTCCATCTCCAGTCACTTCTGACCTCTACAGCCAATTCCCCACCAGACCTGCAACTCCTACACCTCTCTCAGAGATCCCATCCCTCCCTCTTTTCAAGAACCACACTGACAGCCAACCCCCCTTCCCTCAGCAGCCACTGACCTAGATGTCAAGATTGGCTTCACTGGGTTTCCTAAAAGCATTTAAATATAAAGATACCATTGCCGTGAGGTTGGCCAGTAGTTTTCTGTGTGGGCTATTTTGCTTTTAGGAAAGTTAACCCCAAAATAGTACTAGTACAGTAAGAAGTGACACCCACGATATAACTCCACTGTCACTAAACACAGTCTCATGGTCTGGTTGTGGCATGTTAGCTCCATCGCCGTGTATTTTCTCCAGTGAGTATTCTTGTGGTGCACTGCTGAGCCTGGTTCTGCCACTAAGACCTATCAGTAGTGGCAGAAAAAGAAAGACTATCCACAAGACTGCTAGTATCCACCTCTCCTCCTCTTACACTTCTTCCTTATCTCCCCACATTCTGTACTGCAACAACTACAAGAGAGTGACAAATTTTACACAACCATGTGTGTGATTTTGTGCTTTCTCTCTCTCTCTCTCTCTCATTGTGTGCATAGACCCTGTAAACAGTGTCACTACGCCTGGTGAAGTATCTACAGTATATCCTTCCTCCTTTTTCCCTCTCCATATTGTAAATCACTCAGTTACAGTAGACAGTAAGCCTGAGAGAACTTCACAGTGAAAACAACCAACAGCTGGGAGAGGAATAAACACTAAAGTGGGCAACACAGTCCTGTAGGTACGGTTAAGTTGGCGCCCTGAAATGAAGACGTTGTGAAAAGCAATCTGAAGTAGATGAAGCAGAACCTGGGAAAAAAGGGATGAACTGTGAGGAGGAAATTCCCTCAGTGTCCCTAAAAAGACTGTGCTGGCGGGTAAACTGATTTGACAACCCAAAAGAGGGTGGCTGAAAGGAAAACACAGAAGTAGGCAAAAGCAAAAGGGCTCCCTGAACCAAGAGATGCTTTGACTTGAAATTCTTGATCGTTACTGAGGAGAGAAAGAGAAGAAAAGACATCACAGATAACAGAAGAAGAGCCTTTTTCATTTCCCCCTCCATATCACCGACTCTTTATTGCTTTGTCTGCTTTCCATCTCACTGCGTGGAACTATTTTTAGATGAGATATTGAAAATAGTGTAGAAAGGAGACGTGCTGTGCAGCAAAGCTCATAATGGAAATGTTGTCTGCCAGTCTGTTAGTAAGATACACTGTATCCTATTAATCTCAGATGAGAAACATGAAATCTCTGCTGTCAATGTGAATAATGGCCACTCACTGTTGATATTATAGGTATTTTAAATGTACTTAAAAGCACATGTGTCTGTTATGAAACAAAACAGCCATTTCTTGAATCACTGTCGTCTTCTCCACTATGTCTATGAGTGTAAATACATTATAAGATCCTGTAGCCAGTATAATGACCTCTACATATCAGCCACTGATTTCAGTGAACTGGAGTAGCATGAGCTGTTGTCACAGTAACATCTTTCCTTTCCTGGATGGGAGCTGTCAATCAGAAGACTAAGAAAGCAGTTGGAGGAGAGGGGCCGTTGTGTTTTATTGGGATTTCATTTCTATGTGGGTTCCTCAGTGTCCAGCCGCTCATTGTTTGGACAGCAGCTGTAGCGTAATGCAGCAACGACCTGCAAGCAGATTGAATCGCATTGATCAGTTCTTCAGGACATACAATCAGGCTACAGAAGCCTCAAGGTGTGTGTGTGTGTTTGTGTGTGTTAGTGTGTGCTGACAGTCAAATAGGAATGAAGTTGTTCAGGCTAAAACACAAGTGGCTATTTCACGGTCGGGAGGATATGCTGTGTCCATGTCTGTCAAGGCCACTGGAGAAGGGGGGCGGGCTGAAGTGTCCGTTATGTTTGGAACACTCCACTTCTCAGTTTCAGATTAGAAAATGTCAACTAAAGTGAAAAAAATGGTTTCTAGTAGTAAAAGGTTGGCCCAGTTTAATTTATGCAACCAACCACTGAGAGGAGCTTTGGACTCTGACATAACCAATTTCATCATTACAGTTTTAAAAGATCCTTTTTGGCATCAAAATAATAGTCACCATTTTAAGAAAAACATTCATTCATTTTGTTGCCAAGAGCTTGATGAGAAGATCAATACCACTCTCAAGGTTATAGCCATTTAGCTTAGCAAAGAGACTCAGAACAGGGAAACAACCAAGCCTAACTAAAGTCACCAACAAGCACCTGTAAAGCATTCTGACATGTTATATCTCATTTGTTTCAATGAGTTATAATGTTAATTAGTGAGCTTCAAATGTGCAGGAAGGCGGTTTTTATTATTCCCCCTTTTCTCATCTTTTGGCTTTCATGCTGAGCTATGCTAACTGCCTCCTGCTGTAGCTTTATACTTAGCAAACAAACAAGAGAATGGTATCAGTCTTGTCATCTAACTCGAAGCAAGAATGAAAATAAGCATTGTTTTCAAAAATGCCAGAATATTTTCCTCAAATATAAATGCTAATGTGGTTATGGTCAGGAGCATTTGGTTTTGCACAGGAGACTAAACAAGGCTCACGCAGCCCCAAAATCTGTTAGGAGAAGAACACAAAGCTGCCTTCTTGTGATCTTACAGAAACACTTGCATTGAATTTCATCATATTTTTGATGGTGCCCCGCTAAAGAAAAAGTACTCTGTATTCCAACTCAATTACATTCTGCACTTTAATGTGGCTGTAAAGGATTATTGAAAATGTTTGTGTTCCTTTGCTCTCAAAGTGTCTTTGAAATACATTTTTACAGAATGGAGCGCAGACAGTCTTAAACCTTTGGTCAATTTGCCTGCGGACTCACCACTAAATAACAAATGTAGTCATGTTTTAGTGATCCATATCTTAGTAGGCTGCACTATAGTAACCCTGGGTGTAGGTATAGGCAGTAAAATACTGATAATTGATTGTTACTGTCCAGTGTGTGTGTGTGTGTGTGTCTGTGGAAGGAATAAGGGAAACTCTCCATAATGTTTGTGGCTCAGATAGCCAGGTATAACCAGCTCCAGATCTGGCTGCTGTGCCAATGTGTCCGAGGACTTGCCTGAACTGGCTCACGCCATAGTGACTGTAAGAGGTTTGGCACTCGCTTACGGACAAGCACACACACAGTGCACCATTACACAAAAGAACGCCGGATTAAACCTCACACGACGTTATTGCACAAGAACGGTTTCACATGCTGGCACGTACATAAAGTTCACACAAAACCAGACTTTGTGTGTAAAATACACAAGCACACACATACAGTGACATTGGGAAACACCCGGATGAACTAAATACACGCATTTCTCAGTAAATGAGCAGTAGACGTTCACAGTTTCTCATGTTAGTTATGCATAAGCACATGTACTGTAGATATAAACATGTAGTCAACACCTCAAACATAAAGACAGTCATCTAAGGTTTTTTTTTTTCCTGCCATGGTGACAGCATGTTTCGAATCTGTTCTGAGTGTTTTTGTAACCAACCGGCATGCAGACCAAGTCTCTACTCCCAGTCTGTCTACGTATAAGGTGCCTAATGGTGGATATTAATAATGATATCATGTTGAGTATTAATAATAAACAGTATAATCTTCATGGCTAGTGTGTTCTCTGTTTAATCTGTGTGCAGTTAGCCAACTAGGGTGTTGCTCTTGCCAAATATGCTTTCATTGTGCGAGTGTGTGTTTACCTGATGTAGACAGTTTGCAAAACAGATTACCTGACAGATGCTGCGGCTGGAGGGGTGTGCCACTGTAGGTCAGGCAGGTGTCCTCTGGTTAGTAGGTAGCAGCCTTCATCAGGCCCCTGCAGTACTCACCCGTTTTTTATGTTTTGTCCCCTGTATTGTGCATAAACTCCATCCCTTGTGCCTTTAATTTTGGGTTGACTGCTCACCCAAAGAATCAATCAATCAATCAATCAATCAATCAATATAACCTGTATCCACAGTGATACCATCAAATGCATAAGGAGCACAGACAAACGTAAATGTGTTCTTCTTCCACTTTCTGACAGATAGCACATATCCATTGTTTTGACCATGAGGACAACATGTAGTGTGTGATCCCTTTAGAAAATGTCTCTCGGTGTGTTTGTTGTAAAAATTTGTTTAAAGGATAGTTGTACCTGTCACTGTTTTAACTATTTATGTGTTCCATTATTTCCTTTCAATGAGTGTAAAAGGCAAATATACCTTAGAGTCTATAAGTAGATTATAAATTATTAGGACTTTATTGATCAGTAATAACACATGGATAAGAGCCTCAGAGAATTCAGACCAAAATTCATTCATTAAGGGCCCATTGCAGAGGTATAGGGCATTAAAAATGATTTATTAACCTTTTGAGTAAGACCTCACCCCTATGGCTTTTGAGGGAATTCAGCTTGTTTGCTTTGTTGTACATACTGTTCTTCCAGCACAGTGGAGACCCAGAGCTTTCTCACTAATTAGTAGCAATAGGAGAAGGGGCACAAGAGAACAAAAAGAAACACGGCTTTAATTTTAAGGAACTAATTATACCAAGGTACCATGATTAAGGCCACAATGAAATTGAACTTTGCATGAATTGATATTAATGCCCCACAGATGCTACACGTGCTGTAGAACTTGTTTGGTGCTGCAGTAGGTGAGGGTGGAGTGAGGGAGGAGGAGGTGGATGACAGGCGTGAGGGATGAAGAGAAAGAGAGCTATGACAGAAAGTCGCTAGCGCTCAGTCCCCTCCTGCCTCTCCTGAGATGGGCAACACACACCCTCAGCACTCTGGGCACTCACCACCTGGATCAGATCTCTCTCTTTCTCTCTCTCTCTCTCTCTCTCTCTCTCTCTCCCTCTCTTTCCACATGCGTGCATGCGTATGTGTCACAAATTTCCCTTCACTGTTTTCTCACTCTGCCCTCTCTCTCTCTCTCTTTCTCCTTTCTCTCTTTCAGCTTTGCTGCTCTAATTCTATCTGTCACACATTCTGTGTTCCCCAGCATCTGAGAATCAATCTCAAACACATGCTCCCTCATCTATTCATTTTTCTCCTTCTGTCTCTCCCTGGTACCACTTTATTGCTTCATGGTTTACAGCTGTGTCTGTTTCTATATCCTTGTTTTCTTTGTTGCTGCCGATACATCTATTTTATTTCTCTCTATTTCTTCTTCTTACATTGACATTCTTTCTGTCTTTCTCTGTATTTGTGTAGCCTCCCTCTCTTGTATCTCTGCATCATCCTCAGACTGGCTGTTGCACATAACGCACCGCGTTCCCATCTTCCTCCGTCACACATTCATGCCAAGCACAAGCAGGCGGCTGTATGAATTAAACATCTTAGCCATGCACACGCTAGGCCCCTTTGGAGTGTCAGGATGAGCCCTGATGCTCAGATGGGGCCTCTGGCCACAC